ATGCTGCGTAATGTTGTGATATGTTATGTCAAAGCGTGTTTTGTTATATTCGGTTACGTTATGTAATGTCGCGTTCTGTCGTGTTCGTCGAAGGCGCGAGGCGAGATCATCGGGACACCTTGGGGTCTGGCGGCCACGGTATGCATGTGGGGCGCTGGCTGGGCGAGAGGCGGGAACTCGGGACAATCGGGACAACTTGGGGCCTGGCGGCCGCGGTATGCAGGGTGGGGGTGGCTGGGCGCGAGGCGGGAACTCGGGATACTCGGGACACCCAAGACAACTTGGAGTGTGGCGGCCGCGGTATGCAGGGTGGGGTTGGCTGGGCGCGGGGCGGGACACCCAAGATACTCGGGATACTCGGGACAACTTGGGGTGTGGCGGCCGCGGTATGTAGGGTGGGATACAACAACCAACCTGTCGGGGTGGGGTACGCAACACATTCTACGCATCGGGAAACGAGTTCTATTATACTTTCCACGCCAATGGACAACAATTATGACGATGCTCTTTCTACCAGCGCTACGTCTGAAGCATAGCATTGCTATGCACGCGAACGGAACTCGTGAGGCGTGATGACAGAAAAACACGCTCAAGAGGTCGCCCACGCCTCCAGATAGCTTTCACCCAAGGAGGAGGAGGAGGAGGAGGAGGAGGAGGAGAGGAGGAAGGAGCCAAAGAAAAATTTGAACCATCACGAGTACGGGCGGTTCGACTCGGATCGGGGGCTGAACGGTGATTCATTCGCTCTGTCACGCCTGGATAAATCCTGAAATGACGATGCTCGTTCTACCAGTGCTACGCGTGAAGCCTAGCATTGATGCGCGCGCGATTGGAGCTCGCGAGGCGTGATGACAGCAAAACACGCTCAAGGGGGCGTCCACGCCACCGGAGAGCTTGCACCATAGTCAATGGGTTGTTCTGGCGCAGCCGTCAGAAAGAAGCGAGACGGGCCACCGACGAGCATAGTCGTTTAGGGTATCCTTTGGCGCGGCGGGCACATCCTGTGACGCCGCACGCTCTACGAGAACTTTTACACTTGGCTTCGAGGGAGACAGCATCCGAAATGTTGCACAGAACGGTCGTGCCTTTTCTCCACTTCGCACCGTATCAGCATTAGCCAACTTCAACCCAGAAAAAAATCCTGGAGGCGGCGGAGCCCTGCTACATACCACAGTTCCTGTCCCCCTGTCGCATCACCGGCAGCGCGCGGAGTCCAGCCTCGCTCCCGGCAGCGGCACCTGGCCGCGGCCCCCTGGCCTCGAAAGCCCCGCCTGCCAGGGGGGACTCTGGCCCCGGGATGCCGGGGGCCGCCCCACGAGGAACCCCAACGCACCGGCGACGGCCAGGGCCGCCGCCGCCTCCATGGGAGCGAGCGCACTCACGTGCACATTCGCCAAGTTGGTGGCGACCGCGAAGTCGTAGAAACTGTCGTCCGAACAAAGCCATGGACGGCCGTCTCTCGGCGCCAGCACGCCGTCAGACTAGAAGGACCGCGTGTCATTCGACCCCCCTCCCACTCTAGCTCCACGCGCGCGCAGCTGTCTCGGGTGGATGCCCGCCAAACGGTGCGTCCAGGCTCGGTCGGCCACTCGCCGAACTGCGGGCCCGCCTCCACCGTCCTCTCCTTTATCAGTAAGCGGGCGCGCCACTCTCCGTCGTGACAGCGCGCCCCCCGCTTCGCCCCAGCATGGCACAATGCGCCCGGCACAAGCGAGACAGCCCGCGCAAGTCCAACCGAGACAGGCGCCGGCCAGAAACCCGATGAGCAGACCCACGAAGAAGATGCCCCACTTCAGGGAGCTCGGCCCGAGGGTATACTCCTCGAGGGCACAGCGGCTCAAAGCGCCAGCGGCATCGGTGAGCACGCCGGACCCGAGAGCACTGAAGGCGCCACGGCCGACGCGGAGGAGGTGCGCGAACATGCAAAGTCGCGCCCGACGTCTGGCTCCTCTAGCCAGAGAAAGAGACTTGAGCCACCACGAGCACGAACGGTTCGACTCGGATCGGGGGCCCAACGGCGATTCATTCGCTCTGTCACACCTGGATAAACCCCAATGAGTTTGAAGGGGGCTGGAAGGCCCAGCCAACGCTTCGCCTCAGGCGAAGCCAAGCTCCCACTCTGTTGTACCGTAGTAACGGCGAGGCACAGCTGTGCCGCATCGATCCTGCCCCCAAACCGAAATTGAGCGGGCATGGCCTGCATTTCCAGCGTCGCTCTAACCCGCTACCCATCGAGGTCCTGCTGTAGAACGGGCAGACGGGCCCACTCCTTCCTGTGAGTGGCGGTCCCGAAGCCAGCAACGATCCCAACGCCTCCCAGGACCACATTTTCTCAAGGCTCCCAGGTGCCGTTCGCTGTTTTTTCTGTTCACCAAGCGCGGCGCGCCATGAAACGCGCTGGCGTTCCAACTGATGGGGTCCACGTTCGAGACTAGATTGTCACGACTTGGCGGGGCTGTAAGCTGGGCACACCTGACAGAAAGACCGAAACGCACGGGCAGTTTTCCGACGCTGTAGAGCCCCACGCGTGGCCCAACCGCTGTTTGGCCACATCATAGGCTGGCCCAGCTGCTCCTGGGGTGGGTACATCCACCTTGCGGCTGCCACTGTAGGCGAAGCCCTTGAGGTCGGGCGTTGCGCAAAGGGGGGGCGGCGCATGGGGTGGGCAAGGAAAGGTGCACCTTTCTTGGAGCCCTTGGATCCAGATGAATATATTAAACAGCTCCGTCCTATACAACATCCCAAACTAACCCGGCGCTGACGCTGACGCTCAAACAACCAAGATGGTGGCAGACATGTTCGTCAGTCTCAGGGGTGCGTTGGCATGCGCACTGATCACCCAGGTGTGGTTAATGGTGCATGTTGTATCTCTACAGCGTGTCCAAGAACCGACCAACATTCAAGTGCGACGACTGAACGCGATCGCCAGGCAATTACAGGCCTGCCCGAGGAAAATCGTGTACCAAGCGATGAACCCCACGGGCGAGGTCGACTTACATAGCGACTCAGGATATCGACGCTTGAATGGAGACGCCGGCGACGACGACGACGTCAAAGGCTATGGTATTCGCGGGGCAAACCTGCTACGACGTGAGAAGCACGTCATCTGGTAAGCCTGTCGTTCACTTGATTGATGCGCGCTGCAAGTCTCACCGCTTGCAGGTCCGCTCGAGCTATTCAGCAGAGACACTAGCAGCAGCCCATAATTTGGAGGACTGTTATCCCACGATTGTGACTCTGCACGAGCTCCACGCGGGGCCGCTCACACCCACTCAATTGAAATATATGCTTGAGTTGTGTGGCCTGAGCATCAAGGCCACTTTGACCATCGATGCTGAGTCTGTTTTTAAGTCCTTGTCAAGCAAAGACTTGAAGAAGCCGACTGAGTGTACCCTTTTAGGACACATCAGTTGGATACGACAGATTATGGAGCGTGGAATCGTGCACAGTATTCAGTGGTGCGATACCCGCGATATGACTGCGGATGGCCACACCAAGGGGGGCATCGACAGAGAAATGCTCCTACAAGTCAGGGGAGGCATACAAACCTTCAAATATGACCGGGAGAGACATGCTCCATATCGGGCCGGCCAGACATCAAGTTCTGACGCCGCTTGACAAGTGTGTCATACATATGCGAGGCAAATTGCTGGCGGGTCCACCTTCCTTTGGCCCGTTTCCTTTCCTGTCCTTGTGTGGGTTAGCCGCTGTGCCTGCGGCGTAGGGGCGACGGGCTCGCGCTTCGCCCCCCCCCCGACTCTAAAGTGAGCTGAGGGGCACAATGAATGGAAGCGAGCGCGCGCCCGCGGCCGCGTCGGCTCAAGCGGCCGGCCGCGCAGATTTGACTGCGCCTCATCGCGAGGCACACTATCGCTATCGAGACCAAAAGGATCTTCCTATTGCTTGAGATGGCATCTCCTCTCATACTGGGACTATTCGATCCAGCGTTCTGCGGGGGAGCGGCACGGTTCCACGTCCCTGAGAGCCCAGGAGGGTCCCATGGAGCCCAGGGGAACCCCTGGATAGCCTCAAAGGTTATGTGTCTGCTCAGCTTCGTCGTTCAATTTTTTTTCCTTTTCCTCCTCCTCTTCTTCCTCCTCCTCCTCCTCCTCTTCCTCCTCCTCCTCCTCCTCCTCCGCCTCCTCTCCAAATGTTTCCCCGAGGGGTTCCACATTGGCTGGGGGAGCACATCGTGCAATAGCTTGGCCAGACTTCAGCCCAACGTTTTGCCGCATGGGAGTTTGAACACATGCGATCTGGGATAAAGCTGGACGGGGGCGGTTTTCCACTGCGGATGTACCAGCGCCGACGCTGAACTGAACCTCCCTGGAATACAGCGTACTGGGGGCGACGTCCTGCCGTCCGGCAAAGGCCAGAGGCAGCGGGAAGGGATCGACTGCAGAATTGATAGACGTACCCCAAAACTGCTTCTTCCATCGGATCCATTACACCAAATGGTTTTCGCTGAGGAGATCGACCGGGAACCCGGGAGCCCGGGAACCCAAAACCCATCGAAATCGGCAGGAACCAATGACCGGGAACCAGGGAAAACGGAACCCAGGAACCCAGCCTGCTACCAAAATCGGCGGGAATTGTCGCCAAATCTTTTAACTCCTGCTAGGACCCCTGCAGTGCAAACACTGATTGGGGAATAAGGCAATGACAAGCGACGCCCACTTTTTACGTCGGCGGCTAGGCAGAGTCACTGCGCTGGCGAGGAAGCGAAACGGGGCTGCCGTTAAGCGAAGCGTGCCACCATGCAAGAAGAGAGGAGAAGACCACGAAGCGACGGCCGAAGTGGAGGATGAAGCGGGCCGGGGCCGCTCAGGGGAACGGGTCGCAGACTACGCACACACACACACACACACACACACACACACACACACACACACACAAATACGGGACCAGGCCAAGATCGGCGAAGATGTGCAGCAGGCATCTCCCGCAGGAGCAGAAAGCGGGGACAGGAGCGGCAGCGTCGGCGCGAGGAGCGGGGGGTCCTGCTGCTTGAACTGCGCCACCAGCGAGGCGCGCTTGGCGGACAGGAACTGCTTCAGCTGAAACTCCTCTGTGGGCCAGGGCCCCCCCACTCCTGCCTCCTTGCCTCCCCGTTTGGGCGCCCGAATTACCCCGAGCCAGAATTATCTTTGAAAATGCAGAATTTCTGCTTCTGGCGCCCGGGAAGCCTCCCGGGCCGATTCTGGCGTGCTTCCGCTCGTTCCGAATCGTGCTCCCGCTGCAGCGCTGGCTTCATTTCCGCGTTTCGACTCGTGCTCCCGCTGCAGCGCTGGCGTCATTTCTCGTGCCATGCCACGGCATGCAATGCAATGCTAGGTTGATACTACGCTTCGCGGTGCTCGTCTACGCCATGCCATGCCGTGCTCTACAATGCATCGCGTACCCTCTCGGGATCATTGCCCTGCTCGACATCCGACTGTGTGAGTAGAGAGGGGATCTGCGCCATGGAAAGGGATGGGAGGGAGGGGTAGGATGTCAGATATGATGCGAGCGCACCTAGCTTGTCCTCCCCCCCTCCCCTTCCCCCTCCTCCCCCCCTCCCCCTCCCCCCCCCCCTGTCCCATCACCCTCCCCCTCTCCCATCTCCCATCTCCCATCTCCATCACCCCTCCCCTCCTCCTCCTCCTCCTCCTCCTCCTCCTCCTCCTCCTCCCCCCCTCCTCCTCCCCTCCTCCTCCTCCTCCCCTCCTCCTCCTCCTCCTCTCCTCTTCCTCCTCTTCCTCCTCCTCCTCCTCTTCCTCCTCCTCCTCCTCCGCCGCCTCCTCCTCCTCCTCCTCCTCCTCCGCCTCCTCCTCCTCCCCCGCCCCCGCCTCCGCCTCCGCCTCCGCCTCCGCCGCCGCCGCCCCTCCTCCTCCTCCTCTCCTCCTCCTCCTCTTCTTCGTCCTCCTCCTCCTCCTCCTCCTCCTCTTCCTCCTCTTCCTCCTCCTCCTCCTCCTCCTCCTCCTCCTCCCTCCTCCTCCCCCCTCCTCCTCCTCCTCCCCCTCCCCCTCCCCCTCCCCCTTCCCCTTCCTCCTCCTCCTCCTCCTCCTCCTCCTCCTCCTCCTCCTCCTCCTCCTCCTCCTCTTCCTCTTATTATTATTAGTCTTATTATTATTATTACTACTACTACTACTAATATTATTATTATGAAAAATTAGTAGTATTGGAATTATTATTATGAGTAGTAGTATTACTATTATTAATAATATGGTTATTATTATTATTAGTAGTTATTATGATTATCATTATTATTATGATTAGTAATATTATTATTGTTATTATTTGTATTATCTGTATTATTATTGATAGAATTATGATTCTTCATATTATTGTGATATTCATGTTAGTAGTACTATTCTTATTATTCGTAGTATTATTAGTATTATCTTTATTATTCGCATTATTGTTATTATGGTTATTTTTATTATTATTAGTACCAGTATTCTTCTTCATCTTCATATTATTATTCTTGTTCTTATTATTCTTCTAATTATTATCCTTCTTCCTCCTCCTCCTCCTCCGCCTCCGCCTCCTCCTCCGCCTCCGTCTCCGCCTCCGCCTCCGCCTCCTCCTCCCTGGACTCCTCCTCCTCCTCCTCTTCTTCGTTTTCTTGTTATTTTTCTTCTTCTTCTTCCTCCTCCTCCTCCTCCTCCTCCTCCTTTTCTCCTCCTCCCTCTCCTCCTCCTCCCCCCTCTCCTCCTCCTCCTCCCTCTCCTCCCCCCTCTCCTCCTCCTCCTCCTCCTCCTCCTCCTCCTCCTCCTCCTCCTCCTCCTCCTCCCCTCCTCCGCCTCCCCTCCTCCTCCTCCTCCTCCTCCTCCTCCTCCTCCTCTCAAGCGCTTTTGGCTCGAGCTTGCTTTCGGCAACCTCGTCCATCACTCCCAGGGCTGTACCATTCTTGTGCTCGCTTGAGAGCCGCCTTCTGGCGGTTCACGCTGGGACACGATGAAGGCACAGCCGCCATGGTGCCATCGGCCTCGCACGCCCGCTCGTCCGCAGGGAGGAGGAGGAGGAGGAGGAGAAGGAGGAGGAGGAGGAGGAGAAGGAGGAGGAGGAGGAGGAGGAGGCGGAGGAGGCGGAGGAGGCGGAGGAGGAGGAGGAGGAGGAGGAGGTGGAGGAGGACAACAGCCACAAGCTCCATCTGGGGGCAAATGGCATTGCCCTGCGTGTGGATGCGAGAAGAGCAGGGGAGCCTGGCAGCAGTGTAAGGCCTGTTGGGCGCCGAGGCCCTCCCCGGGCTTCGGGCCCCCGCGTGCCCCGGGCGGGGTCTGGGCCAGCGCAGTCGCGCCTGGCCGATATACTCATCCTGCTGGTCAAGCCAAATCTTCGTGTTTGCCCGGTGGGCGGAAGGAACCCCCAAGAAGCACCCCAGAGGCTCCGAAACGGCCCCCAAGTGGCTCCAAAACTCGCTTCCAGAGGCCCCCGAGAAGCGATCCGCGAGATCCCGATACACATACAAGAAGCCTCTCAAGGGGTCGGCGGTGTGGCGTAAGCCTAAGAATCTTCGTGTTTGCCCGGTGGGCGGTGGACATACGGGCGGACATCACGCTGCTGCAGCGACAGCAGTTCCCATCACCCCCGAGGTCGAGCTCAAGGCTCTCAGGGACCTGCAGGCTCAGCTCGCGGCTGTTGGGGACAACGACGGCGCTGCCGAGCACAAGGAGTTGGCGGCATCCAAGGAGGCCGGGATTGCGAGTATGCGGCAGACTCCCCCTCTTCAGGTGCAAGTCAATCGTGCCTTCCACGACATGCGCACCTTGGAGGGGAAGCTGTTCAAGGCATTGGGTGCAAATGAGACGACGGCCAACCAGCTGGACAAGCATCGCGGCGGCGTCAAATCTTTGTCGGCTGAACTCCGCGAGGCGGAGAAGAAACACAAGCTGTTGTTTGACGGGTTGCGTTCCAAGGTGGCTACCAAGTCGACGGAGCCACCACCTTCTGCTGCACATGGTCTCTCGATCGAGTCGACCTTGGCTGGGGAGGAGGTCAACATATCGTTCGCCAACCTCGACACCTCGGCATACGACCTAACGGCGGATGACAAGAGGGAGTTCGAGGAAATATGTCCACGTTTGCAGACCGAGCTGCAGCAGGCCGCCAAGGCTATGTTCGGCATGGCCATGGACAAGTTCAAGCAGTTGGAGAAGCGGCAGCAGGAAGAGGCGGGGAGGCTGGAGGCCAAGCGTCGCAGGGGTGAGTCGGGCAGCGGCATTGCCTCGGGCTCCCCAAGCGACGGAGCCGCCCCTGCTGCGCACGCCTGTCCTGCTGATCGCCCTGGTGGTGGCAGTGCTGGCGCCGTGGGTGACACGCGTGCCGACGGGCCTGGCGGAGCGGCGCAGGCCCCCGAGCGGGGCGATCTGCGGGGGCGCGCCGAGGCCATCGCTGGCCAGGCGCCGCCGCCGGCTGCTCCAGTGGCAGTTCCAGCTGCTCCTGAATGGCGCGGCCTCATCTTCTCTGTAACCCTGCGTCGGGGGCCGCGTTCCCACGGGATGCCTGTTTCTGCGATAGGTGGGCTTTCCAGGCCTCGGAGGTGGGAAGCGTAGTTGTTTCCAGTCGGTCTTCCCACGCCCGTGATTTGCTCGGCTTCAAATTCGTGCTCCAGGGGCATCATTTTCGTCCGATTCGACACACCCTGGCGAGGGCCGACTTGGTTTTGTCCCACAGGGTGTAGCCGAGCCCCTACAGAGCCCCCCTGAGAGCTCCGTCGTGGCCAGAGGAAACAGTCACCTCTCTGGCCTCGGGCGTTGATTCTAGGAGTCTGGTTTCGACGGAGCACACTGATATTTCTTCGTTTCCCGCGGACACTTTCTGCCCGATCACCGAGACCTGTAACGTGTCAGGCTGGGGTTCGGGCCAGCCGTGGTTGGGGAAGACGACTGCCCATGTGGTGCTCCTTCAAGAACACGAGCAGTTCGAGGCTCAGATCCCGTCTGCTTCCAGCTGGGCCACCAGACGCAGTTGGAAGTCTCTGTGGGCGGCGGCCACGACTGGACTAGGTGGTGGGCTGTCGGGAGGCACTGCTGTGCTGGTTCGAAGTGGTTTTGGTATGCGAGCTCCTCTGTCTGGTCACGAAATTGAGCGGGCTCGGGCTGTTGCTGCTATTGTTGAGCTTCCTGGACATGGGCCCCTCCTCATGGTCTCGGCGTATTTCTGCGATTGTGAGGGGCTCTCGGATCGAAACCTCTCTTTGCTCTCTGTCACCTGCTCTCTTGGGGGTTCTTGGGGCTGGAATTTTTGTTGGACGCGACTTCAACATGGAGCCGTCCACGGTCCTGGGGTCGGGCGCTCATGAGGCCAACGTCACCCTCTTGGCCCCGGAGGAACACACGTGTCGCTCTTCGGCTGGTTTGAAGCAGTTTGACTTTTTCCTTACCTAAGCTCTGCCTAGCAGGGTTCTTACTCTCTTTGCTTAAAGGTGCCGGGCAGTGCTACGCGCCCCGGGCGGTTCCCCCGGTCCCCTGGGAGCGGCCCCCCCAGTCCCCTGGGAGCTTTAGCTTTCGCTTTAGCTTCGCTTTAGCTTAATTTTAGTTTAGCTTTAGCTTCGCTTCAGCTTAGTGTTAGCTCAGCTTTAGCTTAGCGTTAGCTGATATTTAGCGTAGCGTTAGTTTAGCTTTAGCTTAGCGTTAGCTTAGCTTTCGCTTAGCGGTAGCTTAGCTTTAGCTTAGCTTCAGCTTAGCTTTAGCTTAGCTTCAGCTTAGCTTTAGCTTAGCTTTAGCTTAGCTTAGCTTCAGCTTAGCTTTAGCTTAGCTTTAGCTTAGCTTTAGCTTAACTTTAGCTTAGCTTTAGCTTAGCTTTAGCTTAGCTTTAGCTTAGCTTTGACTTGGCTTTAGCTTAGCTGTAGCTGAGCTGTATCTTAACTTTAGCTTCCGCTTAGCTCTCGCATAGCTTTAGCCTAGCATCCGTTAGCGTTCGCTTAGCTTTAACTTAGCTCTAGCTTAGCGTTAGCTTAGCTTTAGCTTACCTTTAGGTTAGCTGCAGCTTAGCTTCAGCTGAGCTTTAGCTCAGCTTTGGCTTAGCTTTAGCTTAGCTTAGCTTAATCTTAGGCTTAGCTTTAGTTCTAGCTCTAGCTTAG